CACTGAACGCACAGCTTCTCAAGTTGTTCCCGAGCAACAAATCAGTGAGCGTCCTCTTTCCAATTTACCCCTCGCTGACTCCGCAACGCGCCTTTTATACACGCGCTGGAACTCATCTTCGGCTGATGGTGCATTTGGGAGGATGCTCTTTTCTGCGTTCTTCATGAGTCATAGTTGGTTTTGATTTCAATCAATCAATCAATCAAAGTTTATTTGTAGAGCGCCTTTCATACACATGGCAACACAAAGCGCTTCACAGTCCACATCACAAATCATCACATAAAACAAACACCAGAATCACAATTAAAACATTAAAATCACACAAAAGATTAAAACACAATTAAAACATTAAAATCACACAAAAGAATAAAACCATTAAAACTTTCAAAATTACACAAGAAATTTAAATAAATAAATAAATGACAGCAGTGCATTAAAAATTGAGATAAAATCCTTCAGTTGTATGCACAGGCAAACAGAACAGTCTTTAACCTGGATTTGAACATTGACAGAGTAGACGCCTCCCTCACATTTTCAGGGAGATTGTTCCAGATCTTAGCTGCATGGATCTGAAACGCAGCCTCCCCATGTTTGGTTCTCACTCTGGGCACCAGCAGGAGGCCAGTCCCTGTGCTCCTCAGAGTCCGGGCTGGTTCATATGACACCAACATGTCACTAATGTATTCTGGTGCAAGGCCATGGAGAGACTTGTACACAAGCAGAGCCGTTTTAAAATCTATTCTTTGAGCCACAGGAAGCCAGTGCAGAGACCTGAGGACCGGACTAATATGGTCATACTTCCTGGTTCCTGTCAGGACTCTAGCTGCTGCATTTTGGATGTACTGCAGCTGCTTACAGGTCTGTTTGGACAGACCTGTAAGCAGGCCATTGCAGTAGTCTAGCCTGCTGGAGACAAATGCATGGACAAGAATCTCCAAGTCTGCCCTGGACACTATATTTCTAACTTTGGCAATGTTCTTCAGATGGTAAAAAGCTGTTGATGTTATTGATTTTATGTGGCTATTGAAATTTAGGTCTGAGTCCAGTATTACCCCCAAATTTCTGACCTTGTCTGAAGGAAGTAGAGAGAGAGACTGAAGTTGACAAATGACGCCCTCTCTTTGTTTCTGGGGACCAAAGACAATGATTTCGGTTTTGTCTGTATTTAGCTGGAGGAAATTATTTTGCATCCAGTCACTGATCTGTTGGATACAGTGAAGGAGCAAATCCAGTGGTCCATGTTCTCCTGCAGTCAGTGAGACATAGATCTGAGTGTCGTCAGCGTAATTGTGGTAGGACACTTTGTTTCTTTGTATTAACTGACCTAACGGCAGCATGTAGAGATTAAATAGGAGAGGTCCCAGGATCGACCCCTGTGGTACACCACAGGTCAGGGCCACATCATCTGAGACGCAGTCTCCAATCTCCACAGAGTACTTCCTATCCTCCAGGTAAGACCTAAACCAGTCTAGGGCTGTGCCAGTGACACCAGCCCAGTCCTCCAGTCTCTGCATGAGGATCTCATGGTCGACAGTGTCGAACGCGGCACTAAGATCTAACATGACCAAAACTGTGACTTTACCTGCATCAGTGTGAAGTCGAATGTCGTTTGTTACCTTCACTAGAGCGGTCTCAGTGCTGTGGTGGGGTCTAAACCCAGACTGGAACATATCAAAAGAATTATTCATTGTTAAAAATTCAGTAAGTTGTTGGGAGGCCACTTTTTCAAGAATTTTTCCAATAAACGGCAGATTCGATATGGGGCGATAATTTTGAAGTCCCGCAGGATCCAGACTGCTCTTTTTTAGGAGAGGTCTTATGACTGCTGTTTTTAGGGCCATAGGAAATGTTCCTGACGACAGAGACATGTTTACTATTTGTGTCAGTGAAGGTAACAAACTGCTCAGGACGGACTTCAGAAATTTAGAGGGCAATATATCCAGGCTACATGTGGAGGAGCTCAGACTCATGATTATCTTTTTGACAGTTTCAGTATCCACAGGTGCAAAGTGAGTTAGCTCAGAAAGCTTCTCTGGCTGTTGCATTGTTATACGTGCTGTGGAGGTGATAGTGTTTTTGATTCCTTGTACTTTGTCATCGAAAAACTGTGCGAACTCATTACACCTAGATTTAGAGGAAAATTCTAGGGGCAACTTTACAGGGGGGTTCGTTAATCTACCAACTGTTGAAAACATAACACGAAAATTGTTACTGCAACCTCCAATAATGTCAGAAAAATACATTTCTCTTGTTCTACGTAGAACCCGGTTAAATTCACCCAACTCATCTTTAAAGATTTCATAATCGCCCTGGAAATTGGACTTTCGCCACTTCCGTTCGGCCCTCCGGCACTCTTGCTTCTGTGCCCTAACCGAGTCTGCCTTAGTCCATGGGGCCTTTTTCTTACTGGTAACTATTTTAACCGTCACAGGAGCAATGGCGTCCAGAACAGTCAGAACACTGGTGGTGACAGAGTTATACAATTCATCAACAGTAGAGCATGGAGTTTTCTCAAAATTTAGCATTCCCATGAACAGTTCACTTGTGTTTTCATGTATGTGTCTTCTTCTAACAGTTGTAAATTCAGCTGGTGGTTTGCTAGCAAAACACATGTCAAAAAATACACAGAAATGATCTGACAAAGCAACATCAACTACATTAACATTTGATACATTAACCCCCTTTGTAATTAGCAGGTCAAGAGTGTGCCCCCTGCTGTGGGTGGGGCCACTCACGTGCTGAATGAAACCAAAGGTCTCAAATACAGAAGCCAGCTCCTTTGCATTTCTGTCATCAACATTATCAACATGTACATTAAAATCACCTGTAATAACTAAACTATCAAAATCTGTGCACACGAATGAAAGTAGTTCAGTAAAATGGTCAATAAAATCGCAACATGACTGTGGTGGCCTGTACAGGACAATGAAAAGAGTAGAAGATTGCTTTTGTTCCATTTTAAAAGAAATATACTCAAACGATGAAAAATTTCCAAGGGGCATTCTATGGGAGACAAAGTGCTCTCTAAAAACTGCAGCTATGCCTCCCCCCCTTTTGTTTTCTCGTATTTCGGATTCGAATTTAAAATTGGGTGGTGTTGCTTCTATTAGAACTGCATTTCCTGTATTTTGGTCCAGCCATGTTTCAGCCATAAGCATAAAATCAAGATCATAAGAAGTGATAAAATTATTAATTAAAAATGATTTGTTACATAGAGATCTGACATTAAGCATAGCAAGTTTAAAAATAACGTCAGAGTCGATTAATGTGGTTGATTGATTTCTACAGGGAACAGAAATTAGATTTGCAGGGTTGGACCGTCTAACTGCTGTCCTGTTTTGATTTCGTTTTTTAGAATTTAAAAACATTTTTGAGCTGGTGCGAGGAACACACACAGTCTCAATTGGCCTAAAATGTGAAAACCCTTGTTGTTCTTTAGCTCCCAGAGTCAGAAGGGAGTCAGCACAGTTCAGTGTTTGGACTGGTAATGCACTGCCAGACGGACAGGGAGCAGTGTTTGCACCGCTGTACTCACCCGGTGCTGGTGAGCAGGAGGCGGGGGAGTGCGGTGGGGTCCGAGGGGGCTCAGATGTAAACAGTCACGCCCCCCTCGGGGAACGCTGAACAACATAACGTATGTAATCCATCAACAGGCTGCTACCGTATCTGTTTGGGTGTAATCCGTCTGGACGATAGGCTTCGTTACGTTTCCAGAAAAGGGCAAAGTTATTCACAAAGACAAAGTTAAAAGAGCTGCATGTAGCCTGGATCCACATATGCAGCGCCACAACACGACTGTAGAGGCAGTCACCTCTGTTTACAGTCGGGATTGGACCAGAAATAAAAACAGATAGTCCGGAGGATTGAAGGAGGTGGAACAGATCCATAAAATGTTTCTTAGTGACTTCTGACTGCTGAAGTTTCATGTCGTTAATTCCCACATGCACGACTACCTTGGAAACGGTATCAGGCAGGGACTGAAGCAGAGGAGGGAGACGTATGAGCAGGTCTGGTACAGTAGCTCCGGGAATACAGCGAGTGACCGCGTTAAAGAAGCGGACGTGTCTCACAATGGAATCTCCAATAATCAGAGTGGTCGGGGCGAAGAGTGGCCTCGGAGAAGGAGCTCGGTGGACGGAACCAGCGGGTTCACCCGAAGCAGGACCCGAGCCTGAGCGCCGCTGAACACATGGAGAGGAGGAGCGGGGGTGCTGACTCTCAGCTACAGGCGACCCACGCTGTGTGCTCGGGGACGCTGGAGCGGTGAGAGGGGCTGGCTCTGGACGCTGCTGCTGACCCGGTGGAGGTGAGCGGTGGTGATGATGGCTCGCTACCCCAGTCTGAGGCTGCTGCACTGGGGTCAACATGGCTGGTGGACCGCTCTTTCGCCTGAGGACTGCTTCCTTTAGGAGCGTTTTCCTCGTAGTGGACTTGGATCCTCGAGCAGTAGAGTTTGCTGCAGTGTCCAGAGGTTCTGCTGAGGGGGCCGGGATGTCAGTGGACAGGGCTGCATAGCGGTTTGCCAGACTCAGGACATGGGCCACGGCGCAGGATGTCTCCTCGGAATCCGCGGGCTCGTTATTCGTAAGCGGGCGCTTAGGTGTAGAACAGGAGGGTCCGGAGCTGACGGATCTCTCCCACACGACAGTGTCACAATATGCAGCGCTCAGTGACATCAGCCGTGAGTGCTGCCCACCAGCGACTTCAAAAAGTTTGGATACTAGAGATTGTTTCTCATTCAACTCTGCGGTGAGACGAAGGACTTCTTTTCGTAGATCTGCAATGGTGGCACGGTCGCTCTCACGGAGCTCCAAGGTGAGGCGACTAATATTGTGCATGTTTGAGCCAATTTCATTGTCACTTTCCATGTCCTCGTTAGCTTGTGTTAGCCTCTGTGCTACTAGTGGGTTTCAGTCGGGACTAAGTGCTATTTGCTGAAACCACTGAATTAAAAAGATAAAACACTCAGATATATTAAAAAACTGAACAATAAAAACGCGCTAAAAAGTTGTTAAAAGTTTACTAAAAAGAGCAGGGGGAGGGGGAGGGGAGAGAGGGGGGGGGCAAGAGGAGAGCAGGGGGAAGCACAGGGGGAGAGGAGGGAAAGGGCGGGGGCAGGGAGTGAGGGAGGGAGGAGGGCAAGGGGGGCAGGAGAGGGGAAGGAGGGAGGGGCATGGGGAGAGAGAGGTCAGGGGGGGGAGGGTAGGAGGGAGGAGGGAGGGAGGCATGGGGAGGGGGGGAAGAGGGTCAGGGGAGGAAGGGAGAAGGGGGGGAGAAGGGGGGGGGGAAGCAGAGGGCAGGAGAGCAGGGGCAGGCAGGAAGAGGGGGGGGAGCAGAGGGGGGCCAGGGGGGGGGGGAGCAGGCAGGATGACAGAGGGCAAGGGAGGGGAAGCAGAGACGTAGGAGGGGCAGGGAGGAGGGAGAGGGAGAGGGGGAGGAGGCAAGGGTCCAGAGAGAGAGAGGAGCAGGAGGAGGGGGACAAGACACAAGAAGAGGGGAGGGGTGCAGGGGGGAGGGAATGAGGAAGAGTAAGGAAGCAGAGAGGGAGGGAGAGCAAGGAGGGTAGAGCAAGGAGAGTCAGGGGGGGGGGAAAGAGGGGGAGGCAGGGGGAGCAGGGGAGACAGCAAGGGAGGGGGGAGGGAGAGAGGAGAAGGAAGAGGAAGGGCAGGGAGAAGGGATTCGGGAGGGAGGGAAAGCATGGGGGGGGCAGGAAGAGCAAGGCAAGGGGCAGAGGAGGTCGGGAGGAGGGAGGGCAGAGCAGAGGGAGGGGAGAGGAGGAAGAAGAGAGAGAGAACAGAAGGAGGGAAGAGGGGGGCAGAGAGGCAGGAGGAGGAGGGGAAGGGGAGGGGAGAGGGGGCAGGGGAAAAGGGGTCCAAGGAGAGGGAGGAGGGAGGAGAGGGAGGAGGGGGGCAGCTTACTTACTCTCACTTCTAAAATAAAATAAAATCATACAAAAAATGACATACTACAAACTACATATATAGACAGAAAAACGAAAACAAATTGCCCCACGACCAACATGAGAATAGGACAGCCCTGGTCTAGACACCGGACTCTCCAAGAATTGCACCTCTTTGTACGGGTTTGAAAGTGGACGGGCTCTTGGTTGGAACACAGGAGAAGCATTAATACTGATTAGGAGACGAGGGCAGCTCTCAGTGAAAAGCAGCTCTCATGGCTTTTACGCTGCAACAATGGGGCAACAGTTCTTAATGGGAGAAGATGGGATGGGCCTGTCCACTACGTCCTAGAGCACTTCTCTGGGGCTCCTTGTTGTCTCGGCCTAATCTTCTAAATGCATCTATTAGGGTCATTAATGATTGATGATGCGTGCGACTGCTGCGGTGGTAATAAAGAGAGCGACAGTCTTTTGGTCACAACACTTTGAATTGAGTAAAAAAAAATAAAAAAAATAAAAGGAGAACCCCAGGTGTCTGTGCTGGGAGCAGCTGTGTTGTTATTACCGAATAAAATAAAAAAGGTGTTTGCATAGTTTCATTGCGTTCCACTACGAGGCCCCCCACGGCACACAAACTATTCCTTTTCAATAGTGTTGCTAGGATACAGGCCGAGGTGGGGATGAAATCTGTTGTGTTTTCCGCAGCTGTACGGTCCAGTGCGGTCCAGGGCAGGATTTTAAATGGCTGCACAATTTTCCACTGTTTTAGTTTCATTGTCATCATGTTGCCTGGCACTTCACGAAACATGTTGTTCTGCATTTCTGCTTCCTTCAGGACAAAAGATGATGTTTGTTGTTTATGTCGTTAGTAGGACCCTTTAGGCACCACCGCAGTGTGAGCTTCAGAGTCCAGGGCACTTTGTGTACATGGATCTGGCTCCCCAAAAAGCATTCCCAAAATTTTTATTGTACATATTTTTTTTCTTTGAAGTAATTCTGTTATTGGTTTTAGTCGTCCTAGATTTCTAATGAAGTGTCAGGGCTTTCAGGGTTTGTCTGTTTAATGTAATGAATTTATATTTCTAGTTACTGGAATAAAAATAGAACATATTTATATATTAAAATATCAAGTTTATAAAGATGTAACCGTCTTACACTTTGAATAATTTTTGGTCCAAAACACTAATTACAGCAGACTGATATAATTATTGTTTGGATGCCATCTGTTTATGTTTTATTTGTAGTACTCTAAAGCTCAAACTGGTTCCACACATTCAGTAACTATAATTAAAAATGGTGTAATTGAGTTTGCCTCTAACTTAGTTGCATTTATTGTATTCTGTTACCGTTTTATTTTTGTTTTTTGTATTGTTTAAAAAAATAAAAGTGTTCCAAATTGTTTAGTCTGTCAAACGAGTGAGGGGAGGTTGGAGATTTCTAAGCGTTTCTAAGTACGTTTGAATATTGTGTTATTTTGTTTGGTGGATTGAATCTGCTCATGTTCTGAAATAAACTTGACTGATGGCTAAAGGGGGCGACAGTAGCTCAGTTGGTAGAGCATTGGCCTTTGAGCCTAAAGGTTGTGGGTTCGAGCCCACCGTAAGACCTACTTCACGACCCCCACTGATGACTGCTGTTGTTGTGTCCTTAGGCAAGACACTTAACCTCACTTTGCCTGAAGCTCCTACTGAAAGATCTCAGCTCCTGTGGACTCACCACCTGAGGAGGATCAGTGAGGGGCTGGTGCTATGTGTACTGGGTGGCATCTCTGGCCACCCCCCCGACCCAGAAATGGATTAAGGGGAAGAAAATGGATGGATGATTGATAGATAAAATATTACCAGTTTTCTGTTACTGTCACTGTTACTTCAAAAAGGAATGCATTACTGTAATATATATGCAAGTATAAGTTACTCTGAATTAGTGTCAGAAAGTTTCATACCCTAGAACCTTTATATTGTTTGTTTTACTTGCACATATGCACTCCACATACATCTGTCTCAGTGGGATTTGTTGTAAATGTTGTGCCTGATGTGTCTCTCCTCCATGTCCTCCACCGGCTGACACCAGCTGACACCAGGGACACACAAAGAAGAATCAATAGTGTCGGCCTCATCTTCAATTATCAACATAGCAGGTCGACCACACGCTGCAAATGAAGACGAGTCGGCTAATATCAGCTCGCTCTGATCACAGCAAAGGACAAAACTGGAACCACGTATTACATCGCAGAGTGCTCCAGGATCAGCAGCTTGATACGGAGCGGCAGTCTGCAGAAAACGCCACAGCATAAAACATGAACAAGAACCACAAATGAAAAGCATAAAGGAGAGGATTGGGTCGTTAAAAACCACCCGATGTGGTTAGTGTGTTTAGAATTATGTATCTACTGTATCTAACTATCTAACGCTCTGACGCTCTTTTGTTTTGAAATGATAGATAGATAGATATAGATACAGACAGACAGACAGGCAGACAGAAAGACAGATAGATAGATAGATATAAATAGATAGATAGATAGATAGATAGATAGATAGATAGAGATAGCGAGAGAGATAGACAGAGAGACAGACAGATAGATATAAATAGATAGAGACAGACAGACAGATAGATAGATATAAATAGATAGATAGATAGAGATAGACAGAGACAGACAGACAGACAGACAGATAGATAGATATAAATAGATAGAGACAGACAGACAGACAGACAGCACAAGATAAATGAACAAAAACTCAAACTCAAATAGGATCAAATAAAAACTAACTTCTCTAAATCTAAAATCTCTAGCTTTTACATAATAAAGAAGAAAATTAAAAAAAAAACAAAAAAACACTGTATATTCTAGTGCAAGAAACATATAGTTGTGTGTATATCGATAATGTGGTTCTATATTGCACATTATGACATTGTTACATTTAGTATTGCACAGTAAGTAAAATGACAGTGGACACATGTTGCACAGTAAGTCCTTGTCTTACTGTTGTGGCCTAAAACTGATATTTGTCAAAACTGATCCAGAGATTTGTACATTTAAAACTTATCCATCTCACCCATGTATTTGAAAGGGCCAATGCATATTAATGAACACCTGCATATACAGGGTAAATATGCCAGATCACAGCAAAGATGCTAATGTCCATCTGTCGTCCTTATAACAGGTAAGACACTATAAAACAAGCAGCACATGTCAGGGACAGCCTTGGCCTTCATCCACGGTCGAAAGCCAAGGAGCAGTTTGAACGTGGACCGTGAGGAGAGAGACTGTTCCCCGGGAGGCTCTTGCCCTTTAAGTATGTCATGAGTCCATTTAAACTTTTGTTCATTTTTTTTTAAAGTCTTGTTTTAGCTTCTTGATGCAGTCAGCGATGTTGTTAGCTTAGCCATAGCACCAACTCGAAACCACTCCCCCCTCCCCTCGCCTCTCCACCAAACCAAACATCCAGCATCTGGTCAATTCCAACACTATTAAAACACATGATTACTTGACTACTTTTAGGGTTTAGGGACGGTTTCCCACAATATTTAAAAAAAATTATCTGGAAATAATCACTGACTGCATCTTTTGCATTTGAAGGACTATGTGTACACTGCAAAAAACAACTAAATATGAGGTAGTAAAAGCATGAATCAAGTGTTTTTTACCTTAATTTGAGCCAATTCTTACAGTCTTAAAACAAGATTTGACTTATATTCAAGAATTGTTGCTTTATGTTCTCATTCTAAAGAAGACATTTCTTTATCTTTTTTTCCCATTGGCAAATCTTATTTTAAGGCAGTCAAAATGTGCTCAACGTAAGATACATTTTGCCAAATTTGAGCAGTTTTTGGCTATTTTTCATCACTTTTTGCAGTGTATACTACTCCAACTAAGTAAAGTATTAAATGCATTACTTAGAATATACATTTAATCTAGTTAGGCAATGACCGGGTATATGCAATTATATGTTTTTTTGTTTTTTTACCTCTGCCTTTTTTGTGGGAAGGAATAGAGATTTGTACATTTCAGAATGATGCTGTAAGATTCTAGTTCATTCCTAAATATTGGCATTGATTTCTACTTCCTCTCCTTGACCTCCGTCTGGCCTCGGATCCCCCTCCATCCCATATTTGTCCGTCTTCGGTGACGGAGACAGCTGTTGGCTTTCATGTCCCGTAAGGTCTCAAACTGGTGTTCTGAGAGAGAGCCGCTCCAGCTTTTCTCCTGGCAGACGCCCAAAACCACAATCATCAGACTTCAGCACATCAAGGAGCCTGGGCGTCCCGAGCCGACAGGAAGCAGAGAGACACTGGAGAGGAAGCAGGTTCTGACGGGTCGAGCTCAGTGATGTCATGAAGCAGGGCTCATACTGTTTGAAAGAATCTACAGTGTATATCATCAGAAAACTCTTATTTAAAGGTGTACCGCATGAAATGTAGGGTTTTTTACTGTCGCCATGGAAACTGTTATTAATGGCGCATAATCTGAATAGACATTTTCACAGTTGGAATTAGCGAATCATAAAGAATGCAAGAATTTAAGGTCTTTGCAAACAAAATGGGGAGCAAAAATCCCTTGAATTTGAGAAAGTTCTACTGTTTCACGCTCTACATTTATTTGGGGGTATATCATGCTGTGTTTTTTTGTTTTTTGTGACGCACTTTGGAAACCCTGTGTTGTAAATGATCTACAGAAATAAAGTTGACAATATTTTCCCATTTCAAAATATATCCTTTTATATCAGGGGTCTCCAACCTCTGGCTCGGGCCCCTTTCAGGTAGCTCGGCTAATAATTTAACAAATGATCTTGAATCAATACATTTTGAATCGTTACATATCTATTATAAGTATACAAATAGGGTTTTACAGTATTATGGTATATTTTATGTGTTTTCCATGTTTTGTCTTAATTATTAGATAGATTTCTATAACAACTGCAAAAAGGAGTAGGTCTCTGACTCTTATTTTGTATAAAAGTAGCTCTCCAATTGAAAAAGGTTGGAGGCCCCTGTTTTATATAATCTATTAGCAGACACTGACTATAAAAAAAGATTCAATGCAAACATTTTGTGTATATGGACAATAATGGTTTTACTATGGGTTAAAACTGAATAGACTTTTTTTTTTATGTGTGGGAATTGTGTATGAGGTACACACTCATACACACACAGAGTTGACAGATGTTTTAAAAGGTAGTGGCTTATTGTTCGAAATTTTCTGTAAATATTTTGCCGAAACCGTGCATCCATTCTTATTGCTTTTCCTGTGTATTGAATGTAAATTATTATTATTCTTTCCCTAAATGGGTTTCTGAATGCTCAAGATGCACTGTAATTATATTCTAAGTGATTCTTTTGAAATGGTGCTAATATCGATTGTTCTTTGTGGCACGCATACACGATGGGAGTTATTGATTCCTATTTCTCATTGAGCTAATGTTTGGATGTGGCTTTAGCGCAGTTTGTGCAGACATAAGTGAACAACAGCAGATCGAGACATTTCTCCCTGAAGACGGCACAACAATTCAATTAAACAGGAGACGGAGACGGTGGCAATCGGAGGTTAATGTAAGGCAGGAAAAAGCAGAACCGCCGAGAAAATACAAGAAGGATTATTCCAATATCTAGAGAAGATATGTTTTTTTTAAAGACGCACAGATACCATAAAGTTGACATAAATATCTTTCAAACCACAAAAAAGAAGAAATAACAATTCATTTAAGACTCAAATGCTTGAAAAGTGAGAAAGAGAGACCACCCTTACTCAGCCAATCAGCTCTCAGCCCAAGTCACTCACAAGGCTCTTTCTTTGGAGTATGAAAAATAGCACATTTACATCAACCATTGCTGCTTCACACAGAGAGCATGGATGTATATTAAGTACAAAAATACAAATTAAATTCAAGTCCGCAAAATAGATTAAAGGTATACAGTTATAATAATACAACATGAGCACAACTTTGTCTAATTGTTGAAAGCAAATGCAAAAAAGTGGGTTTTTAAAAGAGATTTAAAACCTCTTAACACCCACCGGCGCGCCGTTTTTATGTTTTTAAATGTTCTGCTGGCAATAGCAGATGTATTTTGAACACCAAACCCCAAAAGCTGTATATCATTTTAAAGCTTATTTTCTTATCTACATTTATATACAAGTGTACACTACATCAGACTTTGCATTCAAAAGATATAACACATAATGTGGGCACAAAATAAATCAATTCCGAAATAGTTTTTTACCTTTGGGCTTGTGCTGTACAAATAAATCAGCTCTCCTCCCAGCTTGCAATACATCATTCTCTCTGGAACAGTCCAAGGGAAAATTATATCCACTTGTATTTCCCAAAGTAAAATCCATTCTTCAGAAATAATCCAAAAATGTGCATTTATCTTTAGCAAAAAAAACGAAAAAAAAGAGCACAGATGTTGTTCTTTCACTTTTAACGGACTTTTAGCTTTGTTTTTCACCCAAACATCTGGTATCTACGTGTTCCGTAGCTCCTTATCTTTCAAATGAGACTACTCCCGAAAAGCTAGACCAATTTTTGGGTCTGCAAGAGCTCCCGTGAGTACAGCTAGCACTGCTGTTTGCGCATGGATTACTAATCTTTGTTTTGGTCCCAACTTGTTTGTATTTACTTCCGGGATGTTTGATTGACATGTCCGTGTAGCCAATGAGGAAAGCTTTTGAGCAAGGGGTGGGACAATAGTGTCCTGTCTTATGTTGTGCCTGCAGCCAAAAGACGCTCTCGAAGCAGCAATGAATTTACACTCATAAAAAAATAACTTTGACATTAAAAAAAACAAACACATAGATTAGTAACTTATAAGTACCAATAATAAAAAATATTGTTTTTATGATGATTAAATGTCAGTAAAGATATTTGGCACAATTTGGCACAAGCCAAATTGTGCCAAATGTGCACTACTTGATGAAAAGGAGAAACTGCATAAAAACTATAAAACTTAGAAGTCTGAAACTTTAGACAGTTGTTGTCAACAACACAATGACCACAGGGTTTGAATATTGTGAACTTACAATGAAGTATGCCTTTTTTAGGGCCTTTAGAAATGGAAAATGTTAGGCGAGGCTAAAAAAATTGTTTTTTTTTCCCCAAACTTCAAAGGATGCAGAGGGAAATAGGAATGACAAACCTTATTTTTGTGTTTTTTTACATAAACTAGAAGGCTCTAGATTTAAAATGATGCATCACACAAGCATGTGAGATGTAAGATGTGTTTTTAAATAAGCAAAGACATTTGGGTATGCCCAACCATTGTGCACGAGCCAAAATGAGGCGGGTGTTATGAGGTTGGACTGGAGCATGAGGAGAAAGTCAAAAGATGAAGACAGAATGTTGTGGTCTGATTTGCTCACAATATTGTACCTTTACAAGACTTGACAAGAAGCAATAATTTACGCAAAAAATAAACAAAAAATGTATCAGTTAAGCCAAAATTTTGGCTAATATTCTGATTGGAGCTTTTGACTTTATGTACAAATTCTACACTGCAAAAAATTATAAATTATGAAATAATATTTGCTTGAATCAAAAACATTTTTTTTTTATCTTAATTGTCATACATTCTGACTGTCTTAAAACAATATTTGCCAATGGGACAAAGCCATTTAGTCTAATTTCAAGAACTGTTGCTTTATTTTCTTATTCCAAGAGAGAAATTTCTTGTATTTTTTTAAAACAAGATCATTTTGCTCGTCCCAATGGCAAATCTTGTTTTAAAGGAGTCAAAGGTCAAATTTTAGCACATTTTTGCCGTGCACTGGCTGATATTAGCCCAGGATGTCACAGTATTTATTTTTATTCATTCACAAAACAGACCAGTATCAGACAGGCTGGATCTTCCGCACACTCCTCTGTAATTTTTTTACAATCTTCTTGTTTGTTCTTACAAGAAGATCTGATTTAGGTTTATCTGCAAGAGGTTATGTTTCATTCACTGTGTCACTGTCTGCAGGCCTCGGTCTCTCTCTCTCTCTCTCCATCTCTCTCTCTCTCTCCATCTCTCTCTCTGTCTCTCTCTCTATCTCTCTCGCTCCCATAAGCCCCATAGAAGCAGCTATGCTAATGTAAGCTATTTATCGTCTGCCTGCAGTCAACACAATATACCCCCAGCTCCACAGAGACGCATGCACCACCTCAGCTGACCCCAATATCAATGACACTTCATGCACTCAAGTCCGAACCAGGAGTATACACAGGGAATATAGTTATTATTATAGCAACATGATCAGCACAGTATTGCATCGATTACTAATGTGCCCTTTATAGGAGGTCATCATATTTGTTCATGCTTACTTTTGTCTGCTTTGATACAGACACCATGATTAATTATTAGGTCTATACAGAATTTTTTTATAGTTGATTAATGTAAGAAGCAGGAAACACACAAAAATTTAAGTTTTGTGCGTTTAATTAGCCATGAAAGGTTCAAAGTGACAAAAATCAAATGTTAAAGGTATATATAGGAGGATTTTCTACTTCCGGGTGGATTTTCGAGGCTATTGGTCCCACCATTTGTCAATCATTCTGGTGATACGTGATCGTCAAATAAGACCGGAGTTTTGTTCGAAAAGTGGAGAGGGCGGTTCTTTCCTAAAATTTGGGAAAATCCTCCTTTAAAAGAACCCAACTGACTCAAAACAAGTCACTGACCTGACACTAGACACACAAGGGGAACATTCAAAACGTAGCAAGAAGGTTCTGGGTTCGATTCCGCCTCCAGGCCTTTCTGTGTGGAGGTTGCATGTTCTCCCTGTGTCTACATAAGTTTCCTCCAGGTGCTCTGGTTTCCCCTACCACTAACAACATGTACAATAGGTCTGACATGCACCTCCTGTACTGGTGACCCTGCTCCCATCTCTGTGTGAAGGAAGAGACAAAATTGTAAAGCACTTTAAGACTCGCTATATCAAAAAAGATTACTTCCTTACCTACATATTTTAGTGACCTAAGTATAGAATGCAAGGGCGTAGGTTTGCGTGGGGACCATGGGGACATGTCCCCACCAATATTTGGTGAGGACTAAAAAGTCCCCACCAAAATGACATGATGTCCCGTGACCCGGACGGTCCGGGACACATGTCTTCCGTTTGTGCACACGTCGCGCCTCCTCCTCGCCTCCAGAGCATCAGCAGCAGCAGCAGCACGTGACCCGTTCCGTTCTCTGCAGTGATTGGCTGTCTTCTTCAGCGCCAAACTGAAGCACTGAGCGACTGTTTAATTTTTTAAAGTT